AGTAGGGAACTCGTTGATGATCTTTTCTGCCAACAGTCTGAAACACTCTTTGTCCAATCTGGTGGAAAGAACCAGAGAAAGGAATTTATATTACTCATCATCAATAAGGAGACACCAAGCAAATAATTAAAAATTATGTAAACGCTCAGTACCGCCTCAAGGTTTTGACTGCATCCTTGACGAGAAGCTCGGACACTTTGTTACGTGCCCACCTGGGCTTGGAAAACTCCTTATTCTTCCTGTAACACAAGAGAATCTTCTTGCCATGGACATCAGCCTTGAGAACACGCTCCACTGTTAATAGCTCAAAATATAGAGCCTTGCCTACGAATGCAGGCTGTCTCTGCATACGATACGGCCTGAGATCTTCGTCACCACTTGATGAATCTCCGGGGGCATTATTAGAGACGTTATCAGTGATATTCTCTTTGTTCACTGAATTTGAGGTGCTGATACTGAGGACTGCCCCATCCTGTGAAATTACACTATATCAATATAAGTTCATTAAAGACACTTTTGTTATAGTTAAGATTGTTACTCCTGGGGAATTAGATGCTTTTGATGTACTCTCCATCTCATGCGTGTTAAGTGACCGCAATATCTCCTGAGTTATATTTGTTAATTTCTCTGGATTCATTCCTTCACCTGGAAGATAATTGGAAGACATAAGGGAAAGTTAGTAGATGGAGGAAATATTAATGAAACTATCAAGGTTGTTTTTTTCAGCCGATGAAATTTCGGTATTGAATATTTTTATAGAAATTGAGGGGAGGTCCGTCAGAATTTTAAGTCTCAGGATATTGCAGTGAGATTTATCGTAGATTGAAAATCGCTTATATATGTTGAAAAACGATGAATTAGCACAAAAAAAATATTTTTTGTTGTTCGTTTGCTCCCCAGATGCTTGAAATCTAAAAAATGGTCCAGTATACTCAATTTTTGAGCTACAGAAATTTTTTTTCTTTCCAAATTTTTCATAAGATGTCTAGAATAATAATCGCAAGCTAGAGGAGGGCGGGGCAAAGTGAAACGTTTTATGATGTTTTCTGATTGCCAATATCTTTGTTTATAAATGAAGATATTGAGATTTGGAGAAAATCACAAAAGGCTTCACTTTGCCCTACTATTTCGAAATTCAGCTTCTACACTGTTAAAAATTTCTTGAAATTTCAGTCACAATATTGTCGGAATTTTGCATATCGTGAGTTTAAATTCAATTTGATTTGGAATGGTTTGGAATGGAAAATTTTTTCATTTATCTTGAAAATTCAAGGAAATTTGATCTTTAATGTTGAGCGATCATTGATATTTCAATGGAAGCTTCAGTTTTCCAATTGATTCTGACAATGAAGTATGAAATACCATTGAATTTTCGATTGTTTGAAAATTCAAGGCAATTGTTTCTTGAATTTTCAATATTTTTCAGTGCTGTAAGGACCTGAAAATTGAGAATCTCTTGAATTTTCAAGAAATCGACTGAATTTTCAATATGGAAACCTACATAAATTTCATGTCACCTCGTAGGTGTTAAAAATTTCAAGATCGTTTACTTGAAATTTCAATAGTAATTTTCTGACAGTGTAAATAGCCAATTGCAATGTTTGTCGAATGACACATTATAATGTTCAGGCAAAACAGTCCAAAAAAAATAATATATAGAAATTTTTTGTTTTGACTCTAAAATACGATAATTATTTTAAGTATCATTCTTCTAGCTATTTTGCTAGAACATTGCTTTTTTCATAGAAAAAGTCATGGCATTGGCTATTTAGGAGTTGAATTTCAGAAAAGTATTTGATAAGTATTATTTTAGACATTATTCTACAAAATAATAATAATAATAATGATAATAATCTTTTGAAAAATTCTAAAAAAAAATCTGTAGCATACAAATTGAGTACACTGGACTATTTTTCAGGTGTTTAGCGTCTTGAGGGCAAACCAACAATAAACAATTTTCTTTTGCACTAATTCATCGTATTTCAACATGAATAATGGATTTTTAATGTATAGTAAATCTCACGGCAATATCCCGTGACTTTTAAAACTTCAATTCACTAAAATTCATTAGAACATCGGAAATAAGTGAAAAGCAAAAAAAAAAAAATGACGGCCACTGCAAATGAAAATGCTGAGCTGAATTGTAGTTTTTTATAATGAACCTGGATTGATCAGAATGAAATTATTGATAGTATGAATGAGATAACTCAGGGTATCAGTGGAAACAAATTGACGACTCTTACGATTACTTGATTTTTCGATATACACCTTATAAATCTGACGAAATTCCGTCATCTTCGTTATCTTGACGAATGCTATGGAAAAACCATAGATCAAATTTCTAAAGTTTTCCGAGTTCAATTTTCAAAATAGAAAAAAATACAGTGTCACTGAACTTGAGCAATTGATGCTGCAGAATTTCCATGGGAAATGAAGGAATAAAATATAAAATTATTTATTTGTAAAAATGAAAATCACGCGTGAAAATCATTACAATTTTTCCTAAGATTTCAATCGAATTTCCAAGCAATTGTGCTACGTTTTCTGTTATTTTTCCCCCTCCCACCCTCTCGGCAGTTATGTCGATTAGAGCTTTAGCGTAAGTACGAGCAACTTTTTTTTTCCCCTGATGACAAAAGTCGTAATTTCCTTTTCGATCAAGCGAAAATTTTGTATCTAGACGGGGAAACGAATGGATATAGTACGAAATAGTTAAAGGAGAAAGTCTCGAAGCTCATCGTCCTACTCTTTCGATGCGCCGCTTCCGCCCTCCCACCCTGACAGTCCACGATAAACCACGTGCGTGTACCGCAGTCTTTACGCCGCCAATACTCCCCCTCTCTCTCTAAGCCATAGTGTATATTATTTGATATGCGGGGCCAAATGAATTATTTATGATCGAATATTATATTTATATATAATATTAATCAAGACAATTAGTCAAATGAAATATTCTTCCCCTCAAGATATTGTGTTTTTCGTCACTACAGTGTACCACGCCATTCATGATCACTGCGAAAATTAACTCACGTCAAAAAGAATCCATACAGTCCTTAAGTTCGAGAGAGTTCAACAAATTTCGAGGGGTTTGATTGGCCATGGGAATGCCGGGAAAATGAAAAAATCTGCTCTGAAGAAGACTTGTGAAAAAATGTTGAGATTAACACCCTTCACTGTAGTTAATTCACGACGAATCGAGAGTCAGAAGAGATCGAATGCAAATTGTATACTGAGAGGCGTCTTCACATTTCCAGTCTCTCAAGGGAGCGAATAACGGACGAATTTGTTATGACTATATCCGCCTCTCCCTCCCACTGGCGCACTAAAATTCGAAGAAATATTCCCACCTCTGACTTTTCAGGAATGAGAATCAAAATATATTGTGTTTTTTTTTTGACTGGAGACGGAATGACTCGATATTTATCCGAGTTGAAACGAGAAAGATTTTTTTTTAACGTGAGAATGAAAATTTTTCAACTCGCTAATTTTTCACGTTTTACTAGTTTAGAAAATTAACGGAGTAAACAGAAGTTAAAAAAATTGATTTTTGAGAAATTAAATGATAATTATGTCTGAACACTTCAGAGTATTGATGGTTTACGAACAGTGGAAAGAATTCAGCATTAAAAAAATCACTCACCACGTTTATGCCGAAATAAAGAAAACCAGCAGAAGGGTTAATCGAATCCTGACATCTATTATACGACTATGACCCCGGATTCACGAATTTTTTTTTCAAACTCTGTGTTTGATTATTGAGGTTATAATACGCGATAGAATTGGAATAGAGTCGAGTGAGAAACAGAACACGTGGTATACTGTGACTAACATCGGCAAAACGACAGAAAGACTGACGGTTTTCGTTGCGGCTGGGCCCCCTCCTCACAACCCACGCGCTCGAGATCGCCGGAATAATCCCACCTCCGAAGCCCATGAGTGAAACGAAAAAGATATTTTTTTGATGTGAGGAGGAAAATTTTTCAACTAACTAATTTTCCCCCTTCACTAGTTTAGAACAAAGAGTACATGTCAGAGAATTGGTGATTTGAGAACAATAAAAAAAATTGAGCATGGACAAAATTACTCACCACGTTTATGCCGAAATAAAGAAAACCAGCAGAAGGGTTAACCGAATCCTGACATCTATTATATGACTATGACCCCGGATTCACGAAATTTTTTCTTTTCAAACTGTGTTTAATTATTGAGGTTATAATACATGATAGAATTGGATTATTCGAGTGAGAAAGAGAACACGTTGTATACTGAGAGCTACACGGATACTAACTTGGGCAAGACGACAAAAAGACTGACGGCTTTCGTTGCGGCTCGCCCCCCCTCCTGTAACGTCTCGCTACACAAACACCAACGCGTAACACACGCACGGATAGNACCCAGGAGAACGCTTCCATTGATGATCCCGTGAAGCTAGCAGACAGGGTGCACGAGATATTCAACACGAACAGCGTCGCAGTAATCACCAGCTCGCCAGCCAACGCAGTCAACACGGCACTCCTCGAGCGAATTGAGCAGCTGACGGCGACCGTTGCCGCCATGCAAACGCGCGACCCACGGTCTCATTCACAAACACGTCGGGACGGCTCACGGGGTCAGCGCAGGCACTCGCGCCGACGCTCGNTTTCAAGTGCTGCAGTGAATCCCGCGAGTGCATCCTAGTTAAGTGGCGCGGTTCTCAAAATAATTAATTTCGTTGTGTGATCCACGCTTCGGTTTTTAAACGACGGCTTCTCGAAATTTCTAGAACATTCCAACCGTCCGAGCGTCAAGACCTTGGTTTCCCATTGTTCTCGCGGAACCAAAGCAAACCGAATAAAAGNACACATTGCCGAACACCCATAGACGTTGTGTTGTGTTGGTGACAAATAGAGACTACAACAGCCTTTATTTTTCTCACTAATTTATTCCTTAAGCTTAATCGCGCTGTGAAGTAAAATTCATCGATTTTATTTCTCTCTGAAATAAAATGAAATAAAATCAACATGGTAACAACAGCAGCTGACATCCAGACAACTCCCACTGTAACGACAGCAACGGCTACAATGAGGCCCAAGCTCATCGCAAGACCGTTCGACGCGGACAAACCCGCGCTATGGTTCGCGGNATGAGGCCCAAGCTCATCGCAAGGCCGTTCGACGCGGACAAACCCGCGCTGTAGTTCGCGCAGCTGGAGACACAGTTCGCTGACCTGGGATACGTCACCGAGTCAGATAAGTACAATAAAATGGTACCGCTGATCGATACTGCTTACGCGGCAGAAGTCGAACATTTAATTGTCTCCAGACCTGTAAGAAAACCATACCAAACATTAAAAACCGAACTAATCAGATGTTTCACAAAATCCAGGACTGCGAACATCATCCAATTGCTCGACAGGGAGAGCATTGGGGATCGAACTCCATCGAAGCACCTGAGACATTTAAAAAGTCTTGTTCCAGGCATTGGCGACGAGGTCCTGAAAACGCTCTGGTTGTCTCATCTCCCCGAGCAGACGCGAGCTACACTCGCCACCCAGGAGAACGCTTCCATTGATGATCTCGCGAAGCTAGCAAACAGGGTGGACGAGGTATTCAACCCGAACAGCATCGCAGCAATCACCGGCTCGCCAGCCAACGCAGTCAACACGGCACTCCTCGAGCGAATTGAGCAGCTGACGGCGACCGTTGCCGCCATGCAAACGCGCGACCCACGGTCTCATTCACAAACACGTCGGGACGGCTCACGGGGTCAGCGCAGGCACTCGCGCCGACGCTCGAGCTCGAGGAAAGTATCAAAGAATTTTGACATCTGCTGGTATCACTACAAGCATGGTAATAACGCCCGTAACTGCCTACCCGGTTGTAAATTTCAGGGAAATGCCAGAGAGAGACAATAATGGCGGAAGTCGTCTCTCAATCACAATCCCGCCGCCTATTTATCACCGACAGAACGACTGGGACCCAATACCTAGTGGACACAGGCTCAGACGTCTCTGTCACGCCTTGCAGGCGGCCACCAAGCAAAAGGGAGACCAGTGGCTATAAACTCTTCGCGGCCAATGGCACCCTCATCGACACGTACGGCTACGTGTCCATCTCGCCAGATCTCGGTCTCCGTAGAGACTTCACATGGCGATTCATCGAAGCAGACGTCAGTAAACCCATCATCGGTGCTGACTTCCTGCATCACTTCAGTCTGCTACCGGACTTGAGAAACGGAGCAATCATCGACAGCGCGACAGGCCTCCAATCGCATGGCCAGTCCGCGCGATTCCGCGCGACGTCTGTCAAGCTCCTCGAGATCAACGAGGATTCACCGTACGCGTCGATCCTCAAAGGGTTCCCAGCAATAACAAAACCCGGAGCATTGCTCAGAAAAGCGGAGCACTCCACCGTTCATCACATAAGGACAACACCAGGACCACCAATCTCCTGCAGAGCTCGCCGCCTAGCGCCGGATAAACTCAAAACCGCTCAAGCGGAGTTCTCCAGCATGCTGACGCTCGGAACCGCGAGGAGATCTGAAAGTCCCTGGGCATCCGCGCTCCACCTAGCTCCTAAGGGCAACAACAGATGGAGGCCATGCGGTGATTACCGCGCACTCAACAACAGGACAATACCAGATAAGTATCCTGTTCGTTATTTAGAAGATTTTGCTGCCAACCTTCATGACAAAACAATCTTTTCCACTATAGATTTGGTTAAAGCCTTCAACCAAATTCCAGTGGCACGCGAAGACATCCAGAAAACGGCAATAATCACGCCATTTGGACTCTTCGAATTCCCATAGATGACATTTGGCCTCAGAAACGCAGCTCAGACATTCCAACGTCTGATCGACGAGGTCACACGCCATCTACCATTTTTGTTCCCGTACATAGACGACATCTTGGTAGCATCGGAAGACGCGGAGCAACATCACGAGCACCTGAGGATCCTCTTCCAACGACTCCAGGACTACGGGCTGATAATCAACGTCGCCAAATCAGTCCTCGGACAGCCAGAGGTACTTTTCCTCGGACACGTGATCAACGCTCAAGGAATTAAACCCCCCAAGGATCGAGTCAACGCGATTCTGAAGTTCACAAGGCCAACAACGGTTAAATCGCTACGCAGATATCTCGGAACTCTAAATTTCTACCGGAAGTTCATCAAAGGAGTAGCATAAATCCTCGCCCCGCTGAACGCCGCGACTCAGGGGACGAACGTCAAGGGAAAACAACCAGTAGCCTGGTCTCCAGCCCTTGAAAAAGCATTCACGCGCAGCAAGCAAGCGCTAGCAGAAGCCACTCTGTTGTCTCATCCAAATATCGAGGCAGAGTGGGCTATCTTCACAGACGCGTCGGATCACGCGATCGGCGCCGTTCTACAGCAGGAACACCACGGTTCCTGGCAGCCGTTAGCCTTCTTCAGCAAGAAACTTGGAATTTCTTCGCAGAAACACGCGGCTTACGACAGGGAATTGCAAGCAATCTACGAGGCAGTACTGCACTTCAGGCACATCTTTGAAGGACGACATGTGATAATTTTGACCGATCACAAACCGCTGACTCACGCGTTCCCACAGAAACCGGAACGAGCTTCACCCTGGCAATACAGGAGACTGGACTACATCGCCCAGTTTTCCACGGACATCAGATACGTCGCTGGCCCAGANGACTGGACTACATCGCCCAGTTTTCCACGGACATCAGATACGTCGCTGGCCCAGACAACGTCGTGGTAGACGCCCTATCACGAGTAGAGAAAATCACGACTGCCGTCACACCTCCGCAGCTGGTAGATGCCCAACGTGACGATCAAGAACTCCGACAATTACTTCAGCGACCGGACGTGAACCTGCGACTGGACCGCTTTCAACTCCCAGGAATGGACGAACCACTGTACTGTGATGTATCATCAGGTACAGTTCGCCCATACGTTCCTGCTCCGCTGAGACGACAGGTCTGCAGCTCACTGCACTCAATGGCTCATCCTGGACCCAAAGGCATGCGATAACTCTTGACACAACGCTACGTGTGGCCTGGCATAAACAAAGACTGTGCCCAATGGACCAAAGACTGCCTGGAGTGCCAGAAAAACAAGATAACGCGACGCACGGTTACACCAATAGCTAACATCGAAACACCATCACGACGATTCGAACACATACACGTCGATTTAGTCTCTCTTCCTGCCTCAAAAGGACACAGCTGGTGCTTGACCATCGTCGACAGATTTACGCGATACCCAGAAGCAGTTCCACTGATCGACTCGAGGATGCCAACAGTAGTCAATGCGATTCTTTATCACTGGATTGCGCGCTTCGGCATCCCCCTGAGAATTACATCTGACCTGGGCGGTCAATTCTTCTCAGACACCTTCAAGGAGCTTACGCGAATTCTGGGCACCGAGAGGCTGACGCCATTTCATCCTCAATCAAACGGGATGGTTGAGAGAATACATCGCCAACTGAAAGCAGCACTGCGATGTCATGGCGAAGCTTGGTACGACGCACTTCCCCTGGTACTTCTAGGGTTGACATCCCCGTGGAAAGAGGACCTTCAAACGACTCCCGCCAAGCTAACATACGGGGAACCGATTCGTCTACCCGGAGAATTCCTCATACCATCGAACCAACAAGCAGCAGCACCGGAATTGGTGAGAAATCTACGCGAGCATTTCCGCAGGATCGCACCGACTCCCGCTGCACGTCACGGTACACGTTCAACTTTCATCTTCAAGGATCTAGCGACGTGTACACATGTTTTCGTCCGCGATGACCACGTGCGAATGGCATACCGGTTACCATACATCGGCCCATGCCACGTAATCAGTCGTCATGACAAATACTTCGTCATTTGGTACAAGTCCGGAGGATTGGGTAACTACAAGAATATACCGATCGACCGACTGAAACCAGCGTACGTACTGCCGGAGGACATGGACCAGGTCCAAGGACCGCCAGACGTATCAGAAGAGCCTCAACAACAACAGAATCAGCCACAGCCGAGCACGAGCACGGCGAACAGGACTCAGAGGCCGAGGAGACGCGTAAACTTCGCGAACAGACCGACAATCCACGTCTATACTGTCTAAATTTCCTCATCAAAAAATTTTTTTTCACCTGCTTATTACATTTCACCTGTTCCGAGAGTAATTTTTTTTCTGTTGCAGTGCTGAAAAACTACCTTTTTCACTTAAGCAGGGGAGTCATGTAGCGTCTCGCTACACAAACACCAACGCGTAACACACGCACGGATACGACAACGCTGAGAGACGACTGGACATCGGTGACATCATCGCGCTCTGTCACGCGCCCAGTATAAAATACCTCTCGCTCGCACCTATTGTCATGCGTATCCAAATTCCCGTCTTACGCGGTTTAAGATAGTCAGTAGAGTCTAACACTGACCTCCGATCAGATCACTTTGAATATTCTTTCTCTTTTGTATATATTCTAAACGTCTTGATTAAACTGTAATTTATATTCTGAATTACATTTGTTAGTGAATTGTTACATCCCTCAACAACCTCAATTCCTACACCCCCCCCCACAACCACGCGCTCGAGATCGCCGGAATAATCCCACCTCCGAAGCCCATAAGTAAAACGAAACAGATATTTTTTCAAAGTGAGAATAAAAATTTTTCAAGTCAATCATTTCTCGTTTTTATGTGAACTGGTCCAATGGATTGAAAATTAGCGAAAAGACGGGAGGGATTAGCTTTCTGTTCTTGCTGTTCAAATTTCAATCCCCGCTTACCCCTACATTTCATCGAATCCAAGTTGTGTCGATTCAATCAAATATTTAATAAGAGGGCTGAAATATGCGTAATAGATGGCGATATTGGATTAATCCGTGAATCTTTCATAAGGAGAATGAGAAGAAATCAAGTCTATACTTACTTTTATTGTTGCGCTTGATGAACGGTGAACAAAATTCAATATCGTTATATTTTTAACACCACACAATGGCATTTTCCAACTAAATGATAATGGATTAATTCAAACGCGTATCAACTCCAAGGAGTCATTGTGAGGATATTTCATCCGAATAAATGTTTGTTCTGATGAAGAATATGTGGTTTCAATTTAAATTTTATAGGACACAGTAACTATCGCTACGAAACATTCAACTAATTGACTGCAACATTCAAACAACAGATTGGGTTCAGTAGAATGTAATGAAGGAAATGTCAACCCAAACATTTAATGATTCACGCCTTCAAATTTCTCAATCCAATCAAATATGAGATAATCCGATAGAGTTGAATTTCAATGGTTTCTAAACCCTCATATCATCTCAGAACAAAACTTATCGCTTTTCAATTATAGAGTGTCATGGCTTCTTCCAACAGAATTACTGTCGGATAGAAAGCAGAACTCATAAATGCAATGGAATATTATTCTGTTTTGTTGGGACCATATGAATTGATATCAATCAATATAAGAGCTTCCCAGCGAGGAGTTGATGATTTACGTTAAAAGAAATTCTTCTCAATTTGGGCTGATCAATTCTCAACTTCGATTGCGAAAAAAAACATTGTTGTATCGAATCCAACCAGCTTCAAACAAGCGAAACTCCAATTGTACGAAATAGTTTTGGTTGCAAAAATATATATTTACTAAATGCTAGAAATTTTTTCTCTCAGTGTAGAGCACCGGCAGCAGTGAACCTCAATAATCAGCTGATCAATGAGAAAGCAGAGTCCATCAAACAAAACAGTCAATAAAAAGAAGCAGATCAACAATCAGTACTGTTAGCAACAGCACGAGTAAGAGCACAATCACCGAGAAGATTTACGATCAAAGTCAGAGCATTGATCTATCAAGGTTCAGAGGTATCGTTCATCTCTGAAAAACTAGTTCATCAACTACATCTACAGAGAACATCATCAACAGTGGAGTTAATTGGAATTGGTGGAGTAAATTCAGGACACATCAGAGGAATGGTGTCAGTCACTCTACCAGCAATCAACGGGCCTCATCAAGTGCAGCTAAATGCCCACATCTTCAAGAAGCTCACCGTAATACTACCATCATTTTCATGTTCATCAGCAAGGATTGCTTCACGCCAGAGTCTTCGACTAGCCGATACACATCTAAGGCCTGGACCAATAGACATCATCATAGAGGCTAACAAGTGTGGGCGGATCATTAGGGATGAGGTTGTCAAGTCAAATCAATCACAAGTAGTTGGCCAACACAGTATTCGGTTCGATGTCATCAAGACCAATCGAATGCAAAGGTTGTTCAACGAACGTCTTCTTATCAGCTGTGCGGGAATCCTCTAACGAATAACTGCTAAAGCTTCTCAAGTTTTGGGTCTAGGAAGATCTATTAAATGAGGGCTTATCAAATTCAGAGCTACCACCAGATGAACTCGATTGTGAGATGCACTTCAGACCAACACACAGCAGAGACGAAACCGGGCGATATATGGCGAGACCGCCCCTTAGAACTTCAGCAGCAGCGCTCGGAGAATCAAAATTCAAGCCCTCACGTCAACTCAAATCGATCGTATATCGACTTAACACAGATGAGTCATATTTCCAGCTGTACAAGGAATTTATCAACGAATATAAAGCACTGGGACATATTAGACAAGCATCAGAGGCTTCAGAACTCGTACCAGCTTATTATTTACCACACCACCAGGTCCTAAGAGAAGATGCCATCACAACAAAACTGAGGATCGTTTTCAATAGCTCCAGCCGCAGTTCATCAGGTATATCACTGAATGATATATTTTATCCTGGTGGAAAATTACAGAGCGAGGCTATGACCATTTTGACATTGTTGAGAAAGCACAGGCTCGTTTTTGGCATAGACATTGTTGAGATGTTTCATCAGATACAAATTCATCAAGACGATTAGGATTTCTAGAATGTGTTGGATCGATGACAATCAACAGCAGATCATCTACCAGTTAACCACAATCATCGACGGGCTCAATTGCTCATCGTGGTTATCACTAAGAGTACTTCAACAGCTAGCAGAGGATGAAGGTTACCGCTTCCCAGCAGCAGTTGGGACACTTACCATGGGTCGTTATGATGACTACATCTACGGCAACACAGCTACAAGGTATTTGCCATGCAGGAGGCTTCTCTCTACAGAAGTGAAGTAGTAATTGCCCAGAAGTACTGCATGAGTTAGACCCATCAACAGAAGAAGAAATTATCCAGTTCGAGGAGTCAATCACGAAGGTACGTGGATTGTGTTGGTATCAAACCAACGATACATTCAGGTAAAAATCAAGAGATTTCAATTCGACGACAATCATCAAGAGAGTAGTCTCTTAACGAGAATCTTGACGACCTAAACAGAATTGCTGTACCAAGATGGCTAAGACTTTCAACCGAGACATCCGACATCCAAATCCATGGATTTGCAGACACTTCAACAGTAGCCATGAGTGCAGTGGTGTACATTCGCACCAAGACTATCAACGAATCAACATCAACAGTGCTGACATGCGCGAAGATGAAGATAGCACCTCTCAAGCGCATGATCATCTCTCGTCTAGAAGTCACAACAGATCATCAATTGTGGTAGTCAGGACCTGAATGGATTAATCAGGATCCTGAAGACTGACCACAATCACCCATCGATGCTCCAGCCATGGACATCCCAGAGATGGCCAAGGAAGCAAAGCTAGCACCAGCACATTCAGCTGCAATTAGAATCTTCGAAATAGGAGAGTTACTCACCAAGTATCAGATAATAGCTAAATTAGCAGCCGTTACAGCGACGATCAATAGAGCAATCGACAGATTCAGGAGGCAGCCATCGCCCCCACGGATCTGCCCTGACAACAAGAGAACTCAACGCACCGAGGTTATTTTGGGTGAAAATAACACAATATCAATACTTTGCTCCGTTCTTCGAGCACTACAGAGAAATCACAAACTGCCGAGAAATCATCAACTAGCAAAGCTGACACCAACTTTAGATAATGAAGGGATCATGAGATTTGAGGGATGCCTCAAGAACTCACAGTTAAACCCAGATGA